TCTCTCTCTCTCTCTCTCTCTCTCTCTCTCTCTCTCTCTCTCTCTCTCTCCGTGTGTCTTATTCAGAGATGGTGGCCGAGCAGCAGCGCTCCAGCCTCAAAATAGCGCAAGGCAGAAGGCACAACCTCGTATTTATCGCATTGACTCTACCCCTGGCCCGCCTCCAGTTGCCTCATTGTTTGGCTGGCATTCCCGATTTGTGCGGCCAAGTTTTGTTGCAGCAAGTGTGTGCCTTGACCAGGTGAGCCTTGTAAGCTTTCGGGAAACTGCACCGAGCCTTTGGATTGTGTGTGACATGTGGATGCAGTTGACTCCAGAGAAATCTTTGACCTTTTGACTACTGTGCTGGGGGCGTGGCTGTTAAATTTGCTGAGGCCTATGCTGACTGCTAGAGGCACTGGGCGCCTCGATTTGACCCTTGACCCCAGACTTACATACTTACAGAGACGTTTTGGGGACTGGAGGACCGACTTTGGGCGCGCAAACTCTTATTATCTGGCCAAAAGCTATGGCTGTAGGACTTGTTCTGTGCTGGTTGGACCTTGGTTCCTTGCAGCTCGGTAAGCTAGCAGCGATTGGAGGCTTCGGAATCCGATCACAGTGGAACAAAATGGAAGATTTGATTTTTTGAGTGTTCTGGTCGGTGCATTGCAGCAACACTGGATCGAAAAGCAGTGAGGCAGACAAAGGGAATCAGTGCCTTGTGGTATACCTTACCCAGGTGCGTGTCGTCTTCTTTCTTCTTCTTTCTTCTTCTTCTTCTTCTTCTTCTTCTTCTTCTTCTTCTTCTTCTTCTTCTTCTCCTCCTCCTCTTTCTCCTCCTTCTCTTGCTCCTCCTCCTTTCACTCCTGCCTGCCACCTTCAAAAATGAAACATTCGTGCACCGAATCAGCACACTTGTTTTGTTTTGTTTATTTTCTCGAGTAATCGGATTTTGTATTTAGAAAGCTGAAAAATAGCACACTTGAATTGTGATCAAGTGCCCTTTTTTTTTTCCTGGACTCGAGTACCACTGACATGTTTTGCTCAGTGGAAAACATCCATTTACATTACTTGGATGGATCAATCCCGAGATGCAGTTGAGCGTGGAGTTTGTGAATGACATTTGTGTGTGTGTGTGTGTGCGTGTGTTAGGCGCATTCGCTAAACACAGCTTTTGCAGTAAAGGGGTGACTGTTGCAGAGAGTTTTGTCGGATTTTCACCAACTGATCAATTGGTATACCATTTTCAATATTCAACAGTTACTAGCTTGAGTACAGCAGTAGGCGTCTAGTTTTTATTTTTATATGTGGTGGTATTCATTCTTGTTTGACTCTTGGATTGAAGGTGAGCGAGGCACTGCCAGGCACGACATTCTCTTCAAGAAAGTGCCCACTAGAATTGTCCTGTGCGGACCCTGTATTTCCTCGTGGCCTTTGGCAAGCAATTCACAGCTTTATATGGAAGAAGAAGAAGAAGAAGAAATAGAAGAAGAAGAAGAAGAAGAAGAAGAAGAAGAAGCAAACAAAGAAGAAGAGGAAAAAAGAAAGAAAGAAAGAAAGAAAGAAAGAAAGAAAGAAAGAAAGAAAAAAAGAAAGAAAGAAAGAAAGAAAGAAAGAAAGAAAGAAGAAGAGGAAGTCCCCTACCGAAGAACAAAGAAGAAGAAGAAGAGGAAGAAGAAGAATTCACAGGTATAAAAGAACAGACAGAACATCCTGTTCACACGGAGGACTCAAGGAAGACATAAGAATAAGCCCCCAATTCCCCTCGTCAAACACCGCAAAAACGTACACATTCCCTCGACGTGTTTCGACTTGCACGTACACAAGTCTCATCAGGAGGACCAAAACACCGCCCCACAAGATAAGAAGGAGCATACCCCTTCAAGCTTTATAGCTCATGAATGCAACAACACTAGTCCTGCCACGTTTCCCTCCATCCCTTCTTCTTTCCACGCAGCCGTACCTACCCGTTCCATCACATCTTCAGCAGAAACAGCCGGTCGCCTCATCCAACGCATCATGTCCGAAAACATCCATCTTCAGAGGCAAGGAAGTAGCACTCGAACATCGGACGCAGACAAAGCGCCGATCACCACATCAAGAGAAAGGGAAGATCTGAGCAGCAGCATGGAATATATGCGCACTACGAGGCGCCGTTCATACTCGAAAAAACCAACGAGACTGGTGCCTAACCCCAACCGTGCACACCCAGTACCTTGTCAGAGGGACCCGTAGTGGGCCCGTCCTGGTCCGGTACCGTGCCCAAAAAATTACCACTACTGGTACCATCTGTTCCTGTACGTAATGGCCATTCCGACTTTTCAGCCCCAGAGCCTGTCATGGTCCCAGCGCCCAAAGAAACTATCCTTGTCCCTATTTTTTGAAACTGATTTTTATCAAAGAAGAAGAAGAAGAAGGACGAAGGACGAAGGACGAAGGAGGAAGAAGAAGAAGGAAGAAAGAAGAAACAAACAAAGAAGAAGGGGAAAAAAGAAAGAAAGAAAGAAAGAAAGAAAGAAAGAAAGAAAGAAAGAAAGAAAGGAAGGAAAAAAAAAAGAAAAAAAGAAAAAAAGAAAAAAAGAAAGAAAGAGAAAGAAAGAAAGAAAGAAAGAAAGAAGAAGAGGAAATCCTCTACCGAAGAACAAAGAAGAAGAAGAAGAAGAAGAAGAAGAAGAAGAAGAAGAAGAAGAAGAAGAAGAAACAAACAAAGAAGAAGAGGAAAAAAGAAAGAAAGAAAGAAAGAAAGAAAGAAAGAAAGAAAGAAAGAAAGAGAGAAGAAGAGGAAATCCTATACCCTAGCTGCATCATGCAATTTGCATCAGTGGAATCTGTCCCTGCACTTGACCTTTCAAACGAAGAGCGGTTTCACTTGCTCAATTATTGGTCCTTCTAATAAATGGGATGATAATCCATCGATCAATCAATCATTGTTTCCATTCCACAACAAATTGATTCATTGACATCTGCTCTGACCGCTTTCACCTTTGCAGGAGCCACGGAATCGGGTTGAACTAAGATTGAGAACAACGGAAGGAAAGCAAGGAACGCTGCAGGCGTTTGTGATGCCACATATGGCACCGAAGACATCACAGGTGAAGCGCACTTGGTCATCCATTTGATAAAAAAACTATTAAATTATTAATAACTTATAAGTTATAACAAGTTAGAAACTCAAATTTGTCACTTCTCTTATTGGCAATAGCTACTAATAATACTTGCAACCGGACCGTCTGCTGTACCGTGCGGTGCGCCGCACAGCTTGCGGCATGGCACCTGCTCGTGCGCCATACCAGCAGCAGATTGCCAGATTCTCTTTTTTTTTTTTTCTGTTTTTTGCTTCTTTTGCTGTTTTTGCTTATACAGCAGAGTGCACCACCTAAGGAACACATCTTTTTCAAGTACAGTCGCACTTAATTTTTTTTTCCGTCCGATTGGGCATGAGAAATAGCCTCAAATAGGTGTCTGGAACATCAGTCTCGTCGACTCTTGACCTTCAGGTAGCGGCATTACTCTCCCATTAGGGTTTCTTTTTTTCTTTCCATCCCACAAAAAATATTCAAAGGGGGCACAGGTGACCATTGACCCAGGCATGCTACCCTTTTTTTCTTCTGAGTGAGTATTTCCCCCGTGTGCCGCACATGTCGTGCGCTGCACCGTGCGGGATCGCTTGTGTGCCAAACGTGCAGAATTTTTCGCACGGCGTGCGCTTGCACGTATGCTACTAATAAGTAATTCTTAAGTGCTAAGTACTCGTTAGCTGTCATGCAACCTAGGTAGCACAACTGGAAATCTGGGTGCCCCGTAGTTATGTGGGTCTACCAGGACTGGATAATAAATTAATAATGCTTGGTTGGACGGGAGGCCGGAGAAATACATAAGGTATTTTTAACTATTTTTAGTATTTTACTATTTTTCCAAACAAAATGCAAAAAATCAAAAAGTATGATATAAATTACGATACTCTTACGATCCGTGGTTGTCTTTCCTTTTTCGATAGTTTACGCTGGTTTGCTCATTAGTTTTAGGGTTAGAGCCTAGAGGCATCAATGACAGCTAAGTAGGGTATATAGAGTTGAAACCTGGGGATTAACATGTGATCGTTGATTCGGGCTGTGGTTGGGATAGGTTTGGCCGAAAAGTGCCTCGCTCAGCCCATTTGGCTGCAGCAAATGATGTAAGGGATGCCGGGCCTGGTTCTCCGCTATATGAATATATCTACCTCTTCTTTGTGAAAATTTGGAAAAAAAATAAAAAGGGCAATTGGTACCACCGTCTCTGGCCAATCCGGTAACCTAGCTTTCCTTCCTTTTTTGAAGTCTGTTTTTTTTTTTTCAAATGTCCTTTTCCCTTTTTTCCTACAGGTTTGCAGTTTCAGAATCCGACCCCTATCACATCATCAACGAGTCCAAAGCATTGACGACGGAGTGCCGCTAAGCGAGCTGAAGGTGTCAGGTGCGAGGCCTATTTTTCACTGCTAGCCGCCGACCTCTCTCCAATCTTGTCTTGGTGTTGTTAAGTGAAAAAAGTTCAAAAAACTCACTGGTTTTTCGGCCAAGCTATCGAACAGTTAAAAAACTTTTAAAAAGTCCTTTTTTAAAAGAATTTGAAAGATGATGGAAACGATTTGAGAGAAGAATATAGGCTATATAGCGTAGTTTCAAAAAAAAAAAAAAAAAAGGTCCTTTTTTGAACTTGTTCCCCCTTCTTTTCAATTTGTCTTTTTTTTTCTTCTTTTTTCTTTTCGATCAACTCTTGTCTTCAGCATCCATATCAGTAGAACGAAAGTTTTACCAGAAGAACAGTTGAGAAACTTGTAACTGTTTGCGCACCGATATCTGAGACATTGGACGATCGTTTAGTAATCGGTTGACGGAAGAAGGCGGTTAAGAGTGGTTGACCAATCTTTTCTCTTTTTTGAAGTTTTTTCTATGCCCGACCCTCAAAGCGCTACCAGCGCTCGGAGAGTTCTGTTCATGTCATCTACGTGTCTGTCATGGCGTGTGTGCGTTTGATCTCACGGCGTGCTCTGTCCTGGCGTGTGTCTTATTAACCTCACGCCGGCTCACGGTGTGTTGAAGTGCGACTTAGCACTATCTTTCATTTTGTCTACCCTCAAAACCCTGCAACTACTCTATTCAGGAGACCAATCTTAAATTTACTAACAAGGCCTAAGCTATCCCAAGGTTATGGGTCTACGACTCTACGCCTACCTAACTCTGATAATCCCATTTATATCCCCGTTTTTCTATGCCTACCCGCAAACAGTCCAACTACTCCGCAGGGGTTGACGATAGTTGCAGGGCGGGGATATAAATGAATAGAGTCAATAGAGTAGTTGCAACTACTCTATCCTAAGGTTATGGAGCTGAGGAGCTCCTTTTTTTCTATGCCTTACCCTCAAACCCTGCTACTTCTTTACGGGCTAATGCGCCCGATCCCGTCCGAACTTGGAAGCCGAGCGCCGTTGGAAAAAAAAAAGAAGAAAAAAACAACTGTTGACTACAACTGTTGACCTACAACTGTTGACCTACAACTGTTGACCTACAACTGTTGGCCAATCCATGGAGTTGCGACCAAATAAAGTTTCCTGATTTTTCTTTTTAAAGTTTGTTTTTTAAACTTTTTTTCATGGCTACGATCCGGACGTCCGGACCGCCGTCCGGACGGTCTGGATTCAGTCCGGAATCCAGACGTCCGGTCTGGAAGGTCCGGATCTGGCAAATTTCGAGGAAAAAAAAAAAAAAAAAAAAACGGCAGTCCAGGACCCTTCCCCATTGAGGAGCCAAGCCCCCAAAATTGTTTTGGGGGTTTTTCAGGCCCGTTTATGCTTTTTTGGGGGGTCCGGACATGCTCTCTCTATAGTAATTTATTAGACAACCCCAATTTTTTAATTATTAATAATTCATTACCTTTTATTAGTTTTTTAAGTCTTTTTTTAAGCTTTTTATAGTTTTTGACTTTTAACTCAAGTTTGGTTAGGAATTCTGACATGACTCTGAGGCAAAAGTGGTTTGCATTGTTATTCTGCATAACGTACTTTTTTTTCAGATTTTTTTATTTTTATTTTTTTTAATGGTCCGGGCATTTCCGAACTTGTCCGGAATTCCGGACGTCCGGAAACTACAGGACACGGGTCCGGTTCCATGTCCGGAAATGTCCGGGTCCGGGTCCGGGTCCGGGTCCGGCGTAGCCATGCTTTTTTTCTATTTCTTGAAGTTCCTTGCCTGTTTGTATAGAAGCCTAGATTCAGTAAGAAATTCTGCTGAATGGAAGATTGAAAAAAAAAAAAAAAAACGCAAAGGGAAAAAAAAAAAGAGGAAGAAGTTGCTAAGGGCAAACCCCTTTAAAAGTTAAAACCCTTTAGGTTTGAGCATTGAACCCCATTTATAGCCCCGTTTCCCGGGCCCTCAAAACTGATAACACTGAGAAACAGAAAAGGAGCTCCAGTTTGGGTTGGTTTCAGTGGATGTGCAGAAACGCTCGGCCGACAAAAAGAAAACGCCATACTTTTGCCATCCCTGGGTTGACCCCCATCTGCCTGGCCAGGCGTCCCAGGTAACTTTGTTTGATTGTTTGTTTGTTTGTTTGCTTGTTTGCTTGTTTGTCTGTTTGTTGGTCTTGTTACGATCCTGGCCAATTCCAAAGTGCAAATACACAAGGAAATACATGCCGTTCAATATCTTCAATTGCAAAACGAAATGAATGAACTTGAGAGGAGAGAGAAAAAGGAAGAAGAAGAAGAAGAAGAAGAATGATGACAAATCTGCCTTCTCTCCGCCAACCAATCTCCCCCTCTCTTATTCAAGAATAATAATAACATAATAACAACGAATGGCTGAACATCAACCAATGTCCGAATCCCTGTCCTACTCCCAGCACAGTATCAGGTCCACCATAGCCACGACCTCCATCTTCCTCCGGCAGGTACTGGCTATGGCGGTGTCGGCGCGAATACCCTTACAAGGGTATCCGCCCTGGGTTTTTGCAAGTGACAGAAAATAGGCTTGGGTCGAAGTTTGAGTACACTGCACAAGTTGCGGTCGTGTTTTGTTCGCGTTGACTGAATGGTTGACGGGACGTAAAGTATGTGTGGGCGCGCAGTTTTGAGGCGCGTGTGATGAGTTTCATTTTTGAGGCTATAGGGTCGGCGTTTCTGCCGGCAAGAATTCTGGTTTTGATTAAAGCTAGGGAAGGGTTCCTTCTATTGAATTGACCCTGGCGCACCTGCGTTCGTACGGCACTCGCCGTCGGAAGTAGAATTGGTAGGCAGCGGCACACTGGTGCCGCATGCGCGACGGTAGCAAAAGGGGAAAAGTTACCCCTTCATACAGCAAGGGCCGGTGCCTAGGCACGGTAGACGCAGGCGGTGGGCTCCGCGCGGCGTTATGGGGGCCACCAGTGTGACACACCAAGCAAAGCCCAGCCCCTAACCGCATGTGCGAGCATACAGGGCCGGGGGTTCGAAAGGGAAATCCATCAGCGGCCTCGGCGCTGCTGCTACAGGCCCAGGCAGGCCACAGTTACTATCTATATACGGGGTAGCGCGCAGCCAACCCAAGCTGGGGCTTAGCCCTATTGGTTACAGCACTGAACTTTCACCAGGCGGATCTTGGGATCGAGGCCAGCAGTGAGCGGCGGAGGAGTGCAGTTTGAAGAAGACCGAGGGGTTGAGGGTCCTGTGGGACTATCCCCCTTAGTTTGCTATGGGAACCTGACCACGGGCCCGTGAGGCAGGACTGAAGGCAAGGTCCGACGATCCTCCTCCCCCTGTTCCGTTTCTTTATTCATTTAATTATTTATTTATTTACTTTTTTTAAAGACTTTTTAATTATTTTATTTTATTTTATTTTATTTTTTTCAATTTATTATTAATTTCTTTTCGGGGCGTGGTATGGTATCAGTCGTGGGACAGGCTGTGAGCCAATGGGCCTCACGCAGTGGGCACACCAACGAGCAGTTGAGACTGCGGACGGACGTTCGGATCCTGACGAGGGAGTCGGCCGTGGTCCTTCGGGACATCTTTAGACTTGGAACGAAACAGGGAAGACTAGCATGGCCCTTGTGCACGGATGACACACATAAAGTAGAGGGGAGGGTTGTTATTGGTGGTTGCTTGGTCACACTTGCTTGGCTGCAGCGCGGTCCGAACGGATCGCTGTAGGACAGTGCTGCGGGAGAGAGGTGGCGACGGTGTAGGTGAGCGGGTGGGAGTGAAGGAGAGTGAAGCACAGGCCAGGGGGGAGTGCGAGGCTGGCCGGAGTGAGAGCAGGGGGAGGGCGAGCAAAGGACAGAATGGATCAAGGCACGTTTCTGTGCCGGATACAGTCGCAGAAGGCTGCTATGGAGGAAACGGAGATGGCTCGGTGGTGAACTGGAACGAAGAAGAAGAGGACAGTCAGTGAGGGAGGGGGCGAACCCAACAGCAAGCGGAGTACAGAGAGAGCGGAGTGCCAGGCAGCGGAGCTCTGTCGGGGTGAGAAAAAGGGCAGAAAAAAAAAAAGAAAAAAAAAAAGGGGGGGGATGAATCTGGGCGCGGAAACGCGCCGGGTACGTTCAGCAATGAGAAACTGTGACAAGTAGCTATGGAGTTAGCATAAGTGTGTATTCTACTCCGTTTCCTCTCAGAACCGGGTGGGAGAAACTGCTTACTCTGGGTTTTCGGGCAGGGCGAATCACATGGAGGGGTTAGTTTTAGTGCTAGGTGGTTAGATTAGGAGGTTAGTAAAGAAAAACGTGCGCGGAGCTATGGTGGAGAGGGGGGAAGATGAGGAGAAAAATGGTGATAAATCGGTCATTTCTTGACCGTTTTCAGCGATCTGAGATACTAAACTGGGGTTTCGGGGGCAGGCGAACCCCGCTATGAAGTCAGATCTGGAGGAAAGTTAGTAAAAGATAAGTTAGTTGAGGAGTAGAGTGCGTGGAGATGGTCGAGGGGAAAGAAGGGGGAGACGAAGAGTTGGCGAGCACGACCACCTCTTGACCGTTCTTGACAAACGAAGACTCGAAGGTGGGGTTTTGGGCCAACGCGAATTCGGTGGCATGATCAGAATTCGCTGTGAGGGTGAGGTTTGGGTGCTCTGGGGCTCACAGGCTGCGCCGAAGCAGAGCGGCTCGAAAACGAGGATGCATTTTTCCTTGTTCTGGCGGAAAATTCAGTTTATTTCCCTTTTCTCACTTCTTTTTTTATGGCGTTCTTTCCTGGCCTCTCTCTGCGTTTCTGTGAGTAAAGGAACGAAGCTGATTTCAGTGCCTTGCTGTCTATCAGACCGATTACAATCTTCTCTGCGGTTTCCTTGTTCCAGTCGGGATCTTCGGGATTGAGCAGACTCTACATGGTAGGGCGACCGAATCCGTTCGGAACTGGAGGCAGCTTCGGTTGGGAGGAGAGCTCGGTGAAAAAAGGAGGGGAACGCATGTGGGGTCGTGGTCACGTTTACCGAGCCAATCATACT